AATGGTGCAAATAAATGCTCTATAGAACGTTAATTCTAATGATGTAAGTTCTTTACATACGACTTTTTTTCAGTAAATAATGGTACGAACGTTAATTCTAACTAATCCACTTGCTTTTTTGTCACTCCTACAGCAAGTAAGTTCTTTACATACGACTTTTTTTTCCTGGTACAAATCAATGTCCTATCGAACGTTAATTCTAATCAATCCACTTACTTTTTTATCCTCCTACAGTAAGTAAGTTCTTTACATATGATTTTTTTTTTACAGTAAACTAGTTTAGATAATTACATGATATAATTGTTATTATTGACATGTTGAATAAAATTTTAACAAAGTAAGTCATAAACAATACTTTTGATATTTCATTTTTATATTGAAAAAAAGAAAAATAATAATTTAAAAAGGAAAATCCCTGATAAATTTTTTTATTGAATTCTAACATTTCATTGACTTATGAACTGAACCCAAATTGAAACCAATAGTTCAATATGAACCTAAACCAAATGGGTTTCAAAATATGGTTCTGTTTTAGTTTGATTTCAAACTGAATCTGAATATAACCAGTATACAATGTTGATCAAATATCAATTATTTAAGGTAGTAGCAGACATCGTAATGTTGAAATCAATTATTATTTAAATATATATATATACTTAACGGAGGTTCTATTTTATTCATACAGGGTATATCTTTAAGAATACTTCAAGGATCATTCTTCCATAAGCGAAGTTATAGTTCTCTTGGCAATAGCAATTGTATGTATAATATATTAATTCATAATTAATTATTATGGAAATTAACATAATTAAAAACGAAATAATACTTATAGTTGTCATTATATATAAAACTCAAAAATTGTATAAAATTAATTTTTGATTTTATATAATTTATATATACAATTTTATTCTCTTGTGATTTATAAAAAGTTTGATTATTATGAAAATTAGAAAATTAGCTTTGTAATTTTTAAATTAAAAAAGTTAAAACTTTAGATATTATTTTATAATTCAGTTTCACGTTATTGAATTCATTATATTAATATATTTAATATATTTTATTACTCTATAATATATTAATGAAAATTATTGTAGACCTTCCTATGCTTCCACTATTTACTCATATTCTCCATCATGCCGAAGCACAACCTAAACATAAACCTGCAATTGTTGATGTCCAAACTAAAACATCTTATTCCTATCGCCATCTAGTTTCAGATATTGTAGAATTAAGAAAACTATTATTAAAAAATGCAGGTACTTCTGTTGAGGATTTAAAAGAGACGCGAGTTGCTTTTTTGTGTCCAAATGGATATGATTATGTTGTATCTCAATGGGCAGTTTGGTCTGCTGGTGGAATTGCAGTTCCATTATGTAAATTTAATATTTATATTGTAATTATTCAAGAAATTACTTTTTTATCATTTTTATCAAATAATTATTTACATTGTTGTTCTTATTGATAAAGGTATAACACATCCACCCCCTGAACTTTTATATGTTTTGAACGATTCTCAATCAACAATAGTAATTACGCATTCAGATTTTCAAGAAAAAATAAATAGTATTGCTTGTGAAGCAGGGATTAAAAAAGTTATTGTAGTCTGTAACAAGGACAAAAAATATAGCCAATATGATGGTATTAACTTCAAAGTAAGTATTTTTATTAATATAATTAAAAATTGATTTTATTTATTTAATTAATTTTTTATAGCCTCCATTATTGATTCCAATGGATGATTCACGTCGTGCAATGATTATTTATACAAGTGGAACGACTGGTAAAAATAACTTCTACTCATTTTTTTAAAAAATTAATTTAAGAAATATTTTTAAACCATTTTATTTAGGAAAACCAAAGGGAGTAGTATCAACTCATGCAAATATTACTGCTCAAGTTAAATCTCTTGGTGGTGCATGGAGATGGAGTGATAAAGATAAAATTTTACATGTACTGCCTTTACATCATTTGCATGTAAGTTATAGTAGTGCTCCTATGTCTAGTCAGGTCTGGTTTAGTCCAGTCCAGTTTGAAATTGAACTTGAATCAAACTCAATCATAAGTTTGGTCTGAGTTCAGTCTGAAGTTTGCAAACTAGTTTGAGGCTAAATATATTTATATGCATTTTTAATATTAAACAAGTTTACTTAGGATATAAAGTTAGAATTAATTAGTAAAATTTTAGAAATATAAGATTTTATAGAATTTATTATTAATTTCTACAAAATCTTATTATTCTCAAAATTTTAATAATTAATATCAACTTTATATACTAAATAAGCTTGCTCAGCATCTAAAAATACATTAAACTAATAAAATTGTTTTAATTTGTGAAAAATTGATAAAAGATGCTTAATTTTGAATTGTTTGATCAAAAAATCAAAAAATTAAGTATCTTTTTTCAAATTTTAAGTAAAATAAAACACTCTACTAGTTTTATATATTTTTTGGTACTAAATATATTTACTTAGTATATAAAGTTAGTATTAATTAGTAAAATTTTAAAAAACTTAAGATTATGTAGAATTTTATAATAAAATTTTATAAAATCTTATGTTTTTCAAAATTTTGCAAATTAATTTTAACTTTATGCACTAACTAAACTTGTTTAGGTCTAAAAAATATATATAAATATATTTGAACTCAAACTAGTTTGCAAACTTCAAACCAAACCAAGACTGAATCTGGATTTGATTAAAAAGTTTAAATAAAAAGTTTGAGTCTGGTTTAAAATCAAGCCAGACGCAAACTTGACTAAAAGCCAAATTAGGTCCAGTTTGTAGAAGTACTAAAATATAGTATGAATGATTTTTTATTTTTTTTATAAAACTAATTATATATTTAAAAATAGGGTATTCTTAATGCATTAACTTGTGGACTTTATGCAGGTGCTACTGTTGAAATGATGCCAAAATTTGATGCTGCTGCTGTATGGAATAGGTGGATGAAACAAGACAATGATCTCTCACTTTTTATGGCAGTGCCGACAATTTATTGTATACTTTTTTTAAAAATTAAATAAGTTAAAGTAATTACAAAATTAAAAATATTTTAATAATATTATTTTATATCTAATTATAGCAAAACTAATTCAATATTACAAGGACAAGATTCCCACAGAAATACAACCATTAGCTACACAGTCATGTTCACAGTTTAGATTAATGATTTCTGGATCATCAGCACTTCCTATTCCTATTAGAAATTCTTGGAAAGAAATTAGTGGTGGAGTTGTGTTATTGGAGAGATATGGAATGAGCGAGATAGGAATGGGACTAAGTCATGAATATGAAGTTGAAAAAAGATTTGAGGTAAATGTAATATTCTTAGTTTATAAATATTTTATTTATACATCTATATACATTCTTTTTCTATAGGGATGTGTTGGAGTACCTTTACCAGGTGTACAAGTAAGATTAATATCAGAAGATAATAAAGATATTACTATGTCAGTTGAACAACCAGGGGAATTACAAGTAAAGGGGCCAAATGTATTTAAAGAGTATGCTATAAACTACTAATAAATTTAACTAAAGTCGAATATATCAGGCCAAACAAACTTAATTCTTTGTTTAATATAAGGCAATTTGTAAAGAGGATGGGCAATACGGTTCTACCAAAAAATCCTAATATCCAAAATCTTGAAAACCATAATCCCGACGTGACGATTAATATTTAATGATTAGTAATCACATTAACAATCATTGTCAGACATTAAATTTTTAATTGTTATGTTGCGTGGTGTCAGTATTATAGCTTGTCAAGATTTTGGATATCGGGATTTTTTGGTAAAACTGGGCAATACAAATTAAAACTTCAATAATATTATTGGTTAAAAAAATAAAAATGTTTACCTTAATTAAGACTACAATATATTTGTATTATCAAAAGAAAAACTTGTATGTCTAAAAATAGATTATTATAAATTTTATAATGATCTATATGCATCATATTTATAAATTTTTAAAAAACCAAGGAGTTATGTTAAACAAAAAATTAAATTGTTCTGGCCTTATTATAAATTATTGTGTTTAATAAATAGTTTATTTCTAACAGATATTGGAATAGGCCTGAGGCTACTAAAAAGGAATTTACTGAAGATGGATGGTAAGTTACAACTTTATATATAAAATGCTTAATTGTGATTTATTTTTTCTTTTTTTTAAAAGGTTTAAAACAGGAGATATAGCAATGATAACAGCCAAAGAAAAAGTTTTCAAAATCCTTGGTAGACAAAGTGTCGATATTATTAAAGTATAATTTATATATAATGAATTAGTAATATGTCAAGCTATAACTATGCAATTGGCTAATATATATTAATATATACCTCTTTTAACAAAGAGCGGATCATATAAAATTTCAGCTTTAGAGATTGAGAAAGAATTATTATCACATCCTGATATACAAGAAGTTTCTATTGTAGGTGTTGAAGATTCAGAATGGGGTCAAAAAGTTGGTGCTATAGTTGTTTTAAAAAATCAGGTAAATTTCAATAATATCATTATAATAATTTTTAAAAAAATATCAACAAAATTATCTTTATACAGAAATCGAAACTAGATTTAAAACAATTAAGAGAATTTGCAAAAGATAAATTAGCACATTATAAAGTACCTACATTATTAAAAGTTGTAAATGTGATGCCAAGAAATGCAATGGGAAAAGTCAACAAGAAGGAACTGGTTAAAATTTTTGAAGATTAAAGTATTAAAAGTACATTATTTTGTAAATGATATCTGAAGAATTGCTGCTTCAATACTTCAAAATACTAATAAAACTGTTTTATATAAAATACAATTGAAAGTATTAAGGATGTATATATTATATTTAAAATCAACTTATAGGAGTTATTTGATTTTGGTGATTAATAAAATAACTAATAATAATTCATAAAATTTTGATACAATCATCTGCGAAACCGCCGGTATTAAATGTTGCAGATCATAATGAAATCGGATTGAAATAAAATTCAGAGTTTCTATTTAATTTCTAAAACTCACTTATAATTGTTACTATAAAACTCTACTCCTAAAGCTGACCCTAAATGCCAAAAAAAAAGCTAAGAAAATGCATCCCCAAAATTTTGCATTACATATTTGATGTCTTGTCCATTTTACATTATGCAAAATTTCATCCATTTTAATCCGCAACATTAAACATTAATTAGGTGAATTGCATAAATTTTATGATTGGCTGATTGTCTTCTGAGTTGTAAATTGCTTATGAAATCGTCAAAACTGCTTATGAAAACATGATAAAATTAAACATTTGTTTGTATTTGATTAGTTAGGTCACCCCAAATCGATTATGTGTTTAACATAAAAAAATAAAAATATATTTCGTTAGAGGAGGGGTAATAAACAACACCAATTCGATAACAATTTGCAATATTTAATTGTCCAACTGAATTTCCGCCTCCAACAGATTATAAATGTCATTTGAATGCTTTCTTTTCATCCTTAAGTATGCCTATACGATTTAATAACAATTCCCAACCTTTAATTGTCCCTCAGGAATTTACTCTTTTAGCAGCTTTCAAATACCATTTGAATACTTTTTCATCAGTAGCTATGCTCACACCATTTTGATAGTAATTTCCAGCTTTTAATGTGTCTCAGATTTTCCGCTTCCTGAAAACTTTATGTACCATCCAAATGCCTTCTTTTCATCATTAGGCACGCCTGTACCAATCTTCAACACTCAATTATCCATCAGAGCTTCCACTTTGAACGCTTTTTTATCTTCAAGACCGTCTATGTTAATATTGTAAAAATTTTAATCATTACATTGTCCACTAGGATTTTCGTTTTCTGCATGCTTTTTGTCTTCATAAATTGAATAAGATTTTCATCTTTTAAATCTCTATCAAATGCAACCAACTTGACATAATGCTTATAAAACAATTGATCATATAGACCAAGTTCTATCTTTAAATTTGAAACCACAGGAATATGCATAGTTTTGTGCAAAAGATCTGGAATCAACATCTGAAGCTTTTCTTCGAGGTCATTTTTCTGCGTACTCGGCACTGTCACTGGTAAAAGTTTCTCCTAATTTGAAATCTTGAAATGTGATTTTCAGATTTTGAAAACTAATGCTCAATTGAATACAATCATGAGATTATGAAATTTCAAGTTGTAATGCCCCGAAAAAAAAAAGGGTTGGAAGCTTTGTGATTTTTAGATAAATCAACAAATCAACGAAAATTTTTAGTTTCCAATCATCGTAAAACATGTAAAATAGTAATTTAAACAAATTGACAATCACTGTAATTTTGTGTATGTAAACCATATACTTCGTTTCACTACGTTCCTGGTATTGTGTTCGGTTATAAATGCATACTAAGTCACTAATTCTATCAGCTATGCTTTTGCAGAATTTATTACTAAAGAGCTGAGGTAATTTTAACTTAATGAAAAATTTAGAATTGCCAACTCCATACAATGATATTGTATTACCGAATGCATGGGATATTGAAAATAAAACACCATTTATACCCTGGTCACTATATCAAGATCGCAGGGCATAAATCAGTTATACCCTGGGCACTATGTGTATAAGCGGGA